TGGCGGTGTGTGGGGGGGACATAGGATATGTTAGGGGATCATGTATGTGATAGGCTAGCTGGCAGTGACTTAGCCCAGGGGTTTTGAAAGGGCAAAAGATGATTGGAGGACTTGGGATTCCCTTTCCTCACCAATCTGGTAATGATTTGGCCTAGGGGTTTTGAAGGGGTAAAAGACAATTGAAGGACTTGGGATCCCCTTTCTTTACCAATCAGGCCCCAGAGACTCACCCTCCATGTCCCCTGATTGGCCCCTTGGGTCACCTGGAGGGGGATAAAAGGGGCAGCGCAGCTGACTTTAGAGAAGACCAGCGAGGGACAACAAGGAAGGAGATTCAAAGGTCTGGCAAAGAACTGAGCCAGCGGAGCAGGAGCAGTTGCCCCAGAAGACCCTGAAGGAGCAGGACCTGCAGGCAGCAGTAGGACCCTCAAGTCCCAGCTGGGGTGAATGAGGTAACAGGGAGAAATTCTTCTTGCAGTGGAAAGGGGCCATTGTGTTTTCCCCCCTTCTCCCCCTCCAGGTACCTAGGCCCTATATTTCCCTGTCATTTGACATTTTGTATTTTGTGGCTTTTTATATTTCACCAACCCATATTGTTTGTTCTGCTGTTCGTGTTTTACATTTTGGTTAACCCTGTCTTTTGTCCACTGGATGAATATGTCTATGATTGTCTATGATTGTCTGACCTTTGTTGAATCCTGCCCCATTGGGTCATTGTAGTTTCCCCTATCCCCCCTGGTTTATACTGGTTATGTTCCCAGTATTGTTCTCTCATTAAAAGGTGGTCTGGCTCTGCTCTATAGGGGGAGGAGAGTCCCTACACTTCCCACAGTGCTTGTGCACCTGCTTTGATCCCTTCAGTTGGAGAGGGGGTACCTCTTGGAGTTGTGGGGGAAGGGTGTGGGGTTTGTGGGGTGTGAGGGAGGGTGGGGGGTGTGGGGATTCCAAGACTCCCCCATGGCACAGCAGTAGCAGGTGGGACACTCAGGGCACAGGTGCCTGGCAGGATATGGCTCCGGCTAGCACTGCACATCATAGCAAGGGGCGCAGCATCCACTGGGCCATCTGTATCACTGGTACTTCCTGCCACGCACATGCAGCCCTTGCACTCTCTGGGCCAGGAGAGAAGCCCCAAGCACTGGAGCTGGCTCCCTTCCCTGCCCCCCAGGGGAACAAACCTGGGGCTTCCCTCCCCTGCCATGTAGCCC